TTTTTTTTTTTTTTTTTTTTTTTCCTTTAATAAAAATTAAAATAACGCCGATCCTCCATATATTGTTAATCGACCTACTTTTAGTAATTCAAAGCTTATGGTATTTTTGGCATGTAATCTAATCAACTCAATCATTTTTTATATATCACAAAGAAAAAAATAATAGAGGATCGACATTTATACTCGAAGCTGCTAATAGTAATTGTTTAAAGTAATGGTCATAACTACGGTTTTTTAAGCCTCACGGTTATTGCTTGATTAAAAAAAAAAAAGTCTTAATATAACAAATTTATTTTTGTTGTTTACTTCGTGTTTATATAACAAAGAGGAACTATTCGCTTTTGCATCGCACCGTCATCGTCGTCGTCGTCGTGGTCACGTAAACTTGGATTGAATGTTTTATATTAATCTTTCGACAATGTTCTCCTTGTTTTTTCTTTCAGGATATCGTTTTTCCAATCTCTCTTTTTCTTGTTCCATACCTTTAGTGTGATACTCGATGGAACGACAATCAAATCGATAAAAGATAATTTAAAGTTGAGTAACGCCGAGAAGCAAAGAATAGAGTTTATCTCGTTTAATAATCTAAAAGAAAGTTAAGATTCGTTTCGTAATCTTTATTTACTATATTTATGCCGGAGAAAAGGTTATCTTTCATTTTTTTTATCGTTTGAAAATTTTTACAAATGGCAAAATAATAATTTAACTTGTCGATCGGTTCAATTTGTTTGACTATTAACTTTTCAAACACTTTTTGTCGTACCTCCCGAGTGATTTTGTGGAGGTACAAGTAACGTCTCGTTAATTCTTGACTTTTAAAATAGGGCCCTAAGCGAATTTCATTTTTTAAATTTGATTTTCGATCCACAATCTTTCGTGTTATATATTTAGCATAAAAAAGCATGATGCAACGAATGAATACAAAAGCCATACCCACGATAATTGCACTATTCAATGAAACATTTGTGTAGCGTATTATTTTATCATAATTGTTTTTTCTTTTCTTATTCATAGTTTAAAAAAGCTTTTTAAGGGCACATTTGTGTTTCACTTCAAGTCGAAAATCTTTAGTTTGGCCATACTTGTAAACTTGATTTTATGGAATTTTTTTTTTTTTTTTATAATTGGTATGATAATTTAGTGTTGTGGAACACACGAGGTTTGTATCGACATTTATACATCGATGGTATATAATGTGAAAGATGGTTACACACGACATCAAGCTACATTGTAAATAGTAAGAAAATTTGTATTGATGCCTCGATTTTCGATAGTACAACGTTTATTCATTCAAGTCTTTATCGTCTATAGCGGTTCTAGTCTCAGTATTTTGATTATGTAGTTGATTTAATGTGGATTGTTTAATTATCATATTGGAACTATATCGTACGATTTTTCATACTTAATTATAAATGATCTACCTACCGACACACATATGTATATGTGTTTGCGTGGTAATCCCGCTCGTGGAGTTTGATATCAATAATTGATACGGGTAGTAAAATATTTCATAAAAACTTTTTCTCCAGTTTTACACTAATAGTTTAAAAAATATCAATCAAGTTAATACACAATCAATGTAAAAATTTAGCAATATTTCGTGTTATTCTTTTCAAGAATACATAAACTATCGATTTATTATTCAATGCAAGTTTAATGAATTCTAACTCAACCAGAAATTTTCAAAACTTCAAAAAGTATACAATTAATAGGAAAACTACCACGAGAACAAAGTTGTATACAATAAAACTTAATGCGAAGACTTGGTCCTTGTATAGAAGCACTGTATATTGCAAATATAATAATCACCTTTACAATGAAAAGTTATTTCACTGTTAACTAGTAATAATAGTTAAATAGATAATTAAACTAGTTGAAGCCATTAAAAAAAAAAAAAAAAAAAAATTAGAACAATAATGCCCAGCAATAAAAAAATCACAACGTAGTACTACGAGTTAAAAAATATTCTTGCAAACTGAATTACAAAGCAACGCACGATTTTAAACTTGCCATTTAATATAAATTTTCCAATGAAAAAAAGGATTACGTTTATCCTTAGCATTATCTCGTCGCTATATTTTACATACACTTGAGCCAAACGAACTAACATATTATCAATCAAAACGAATATTTTACGGATCATTAAAAAAAAAGGCAACCCAAAATTTCTTTCCTCGCTAAAAATCCAAAATTAATCGCTTTGACTAGTGCACAGTATAAAGTTAAATTGTATATTTTAATTTGCCACTGGCGTCGTGTAGCCTCGATTTTCCAAAGAGAGCATTATTTTATTAGAAAAAAAAAAAAACCTCTAGTCTCATTGATTTCTTAATTGATATACGCGATATTTTTATAGCTGATAAACACATTCATCATGATAACCACACAGCACATCATCCACACCTGGAATCGCCTAATATAATACCTATTACGTCCTAATGAAAGCGCGACGAACAAAATGTTGGCGTCACGCAAGCTCCTACATCATTACATTAACATTAGTATGCCTATACTAAAAGAAAGGTTCTACCCTGGCAATATATCGTTCACCGCCATCATTATCATCGTCGTCGTCGTCGTCGTCGTCGTCGTCGTCGTCGTCGTCGTACAACCCAGGGCTGTCGTAATCAGTATTGTCCAGTTAAATGCAAAATTCAGTTGTGATGGTGGTGATGATTATTGTTATTGTGATTGTTATTGGAATGGGCAGTTGTGGTGGTGGCAGTAGCGGTAGTGACAGTCCCGGCCGCGGTAACGCGCCTGGTGTACTTGCGCTTGACCCTCTCCTCGGGCTGTGCTTGTCGTTGGTGCTTACCTGAGCGGCCGCAGTCGCTGCAGGAGACCAACTCCTCGGAGCCGCCGGTCTTCTTGTTCTCGCGCGCGTCCCCGAGACAAAAGTCGCAGTAGGGCGACGGCTGCGCCGGCTTGTTTTTCTTCCCGTCCATGCCACCGGCGTGGTGATGGTTGCCCTGGTGATGCTGCACGGGCGAGACCCGGCCGTCCACGCCAACCCCGGCCTTGAGCGAGTCGCTGCTGCTGCTGCTGTTGTTGTTCGGCTGGAGGTGGTGGAGGGGCGTCGTGCCACCAGGGGACATGGGTGGCCTGCCGTCTAGCCCGAGATGGTCCTTGTTGTTGGTGGCGCTGCCGTTGGTGCTGCCTGTGCTACTGCCCCCGGCTGGACCGCAACTCGTGGCTGATATGGCGGCGGCGGTGTTGCAGGAAGCCGCTGAGGCGGTGGTAGAAGCGGTGTTGGAGGCTGAGACAGTAGGTGAGGCTGGAGCTGCGCAGCTCGACTCAGGCGGCTGTTGGTGCAGCTGCTGAGCCGCCGCTGCTGCTGCCCCTATAGCTGGCCGGCCGGGTGCTGGCTGTGGCTCTTGGGGATCCGCGCCGTTGGCCGGAGCCCCTTCACACGGCAGCAGCATCCCCAGGGACGGCACCCGAGGGTTGCTCCTACCAGTCGCCAAAGCCACTGCGGCCCCATCGCCGTTGCAGTCGTTCGTGGCGATGACACTGGTAGGAGCATCGCCGGCGAATGGGGATGAAGAGCCGGAGGAGGTGCCGTCGCTGGGGATGATGGCTGGTGTGCCACAGCCGCCAGCCGAGCCAGGTATAGAGGAGGTGCTCGTCGCCGAGGGGCTCGAGGAGGCAGTGCTCTGACGACCCCGGCGCGTACCACCTGATACACACACAAAAACCGACCACATACCACATTTTTTCCCTCTCTCTCTCTCTCACTCTTTTTTTCTCTCTGCGTCTTTTTTTTTTTTTTTTTTNGAAGGTATCGCATGTACAGAAAACTTTTGCACTCTTTCCTCGCAGAACTATTATCAACTACACAATTGATTTTTCCGTAAATTGTAGTTTTTGTTTTATTTTCAACTGAGAGAATTTGCATGAAAAAAAAAAAAAAAAAAAAAAAAAAAAAAAAAATTAGAGACACTGTACATGTGTTTGCCAAATTGTCCATGTAAGAGGTTTTCGTCACAATTTAGGAACGTCGCCGAGCGGTGCTCACACGGAGCCGTGGACGTTTGTGGTGGTGTCCAATGCCGACACGAAATGGTCCATACGCGAAATCGTCGAGCGCGAGGAGGAGATAAATTATCGTAAGCGCATGGGCAAAAAGTGGACGACCGATCTGAGCCCTCTGAGGACCGATTGGCGCAAGGACTACCTTACGGACGCGCCCTACCTCGTCCTCGTCTTCAAACAGGATTACGGTATTTTGCCGAACGGCAAGCGAAAAGTGCACTATTACAAGGAGATGAGCGTGGCCATCGCCTGCGGCATTCTCATCACGGCTATTCAGGTATTATATATATAATGATATGTTACTTGTACCGTCAAGTTCAAGACAATAAGAGGAGATGGTTGTTCTTAGTACGCGGGTCTGGTGACGTTGACATCGACGCCACTCAACTGCGGTCCTGCCTTGCGTGTCCTGCTCAAGCGTCCGATCAACGAGAAGCTCGTGCTGCTCCTGCCCGTTGGCTATCCCGCCGAGGATGCTACCGTGCCAGCGTTGAAGAGAAAGGGGCTCGACGAGATACTCGTCGAGTTCGAGTGAGCCGGCTGTTTTTTTCCCAAACCTGAGACGTGCCATTGGGTCGTCACGATATTATGGATTTTTTCATCAATAACATATGGAATTTTTTTTTTCCTTTTTTTTTTTTTTTTGTTTGTTTTTCATTTCTCGTTGGTTTTTGGATTGACCAATGATACAAAGTCACGATCACAGTTTGTATAAACTAATGTGTTTATTCAAATTTGCGTACATTAGGTTTAAAAATAAGCAGTATAAAAATTATATTTAAGGACGCATACGTCATCGTAATTCGACGGAGACATTAAAAATCACGTGTACACGCGCACACACGCACACACACACTTTCTGCCTGATTATTGTTGTGTTTAAATTTCTGTGCCTCTCATTTTACTATGCTTTGCTTCTATTTTATTTATTTTATAATTTTTTTTTCATGGCATTTAACGCCTATCCTGCGGTATGACGATGATTTTCATGTTTCCGTGTACACATATAAGGAAGGAAAAAACAAAGTGAAGAAAACGTGCGCGTTCCTGTCATCCTTTCTCGCGACACAAGTGTATAATATCACCACAGCATTTTTGAGTTAAAAAAGAAAAGAACAAAGTTGTTGCTTTATTATTTTGTTTTGCTTTTAAGTACACGACGTTTCGTTACATTTATTACATGTAAGATACAAAAATACTGAGCTAAAAAAGAACAACCAAAGGACCGTTGGACTTCTTGTTTGGTCAGTTTCACCTGAAAATTGTCGGTAAGAATTTCCTTTGTCAAATGTGAAAAACTCTGAACAGTTGTCAGAAGGAAGGAAACGCTCTTTCGTTATCCTTTTTTTTCTACATTTTTCCGCTCAACTATTACATATTATCTAAACGAAATAGACTAACCGCTATTTAATAATCGCCAGTATACATTTTTTTTTTTCATCTATACAGAGCTACAATTTACAAATTCCTTTACAATCAGCTGCCAATCCTGGTATAAGAATAATTTACAATTATATTTGAAAATTGAAAATAATGCACGTGACGATACTTGTTGTTAGTATTTTATAAATATAATTTTAATAAAAAAACACTATTCAAGAAATAGATTGTGTGCAGGATTTTTCCAGCGATTATCAGTTTTTTTTAACTTTAAAATTAAGTTATTTATTTTTTACATGATTTTTTTCTGTATATTTCTCTCACGCATTTACATTCGCAGGGTACGTTATTTTTCAAAAATTCCTCTTTCATCACCATAGTAGTTTAAACTTACTACTTTTTTTTCTTTTTCTTTTTCTTTGCATTGGTACCCGTCAATGTTGTGTCGTACTGTGTACGTATTGTATATGCATGTGCGTGGGATGTTATGTATACATTATACGTTTGATGCAACAAAGCTATACAATCGTTACAATGCAAAGGTACCTATACGTTGTGCGATGCCCATGTGACTGGATACCACATGTATCTATTTACACGCATGCATTTATACCTTTTCTCGTATACAATGCGTCATGTTTACATTCGAGCTACCGATGGTACAGATATTGTACGTATATATCTACTACCCTTGTCTCTCCCCCTCACTGCACCCCCATTTAATCGATGAATCAACTGACATATAAATATGTCTGTGCATTAACCACCCGCGTGCAACAAATAGGTGTGCTCGTCCCTGCGCAACAAACAAATAGGATGCAGGTGCCGAGAAATCGGTGCGTATGGGTATACCTGTCCTTGCATCGGATAAGCAGCACTTGTCACGCGCGCGCGTGTGTGTATAATGTATAGAGGCAGTAATGTACACACCTGCTGGTGTTATACTTGTACGCCCTGTATATACGCATGTATATATACGTACGAGAAAAGCAAATCCCTTGAGCTACGCCATCGATATCGTCGGACTGTACAGGTATAGGAGGTACCTGGATGGATGTTGGGTTCATTTATATACACGTGGACCACTGGGATAGTACATCAGCTAGCGATTCCTCCAATGCTGTGTAGCTCTTCCTTCGTGTATATATGCGCACCGTCATAGTTACCTGTATTTTAGGCACGGGTTGGAATCTCTGAAAAATCAAAGGATCGACATGGAAAACGTATCTAAATTCCATTGTCTTGCAAACCAAAAAGTTCCGTTGCCTTCGACTTGGCCTATATGTACCCAATCTCGTTTTTACACTGCGGGTGTACCATTTCCTTGATTAACATAAAATTTCGTGAAAATTGCGGTTCTCGCTTTTATTTCGGTTGTAATTCAACTGATGAGAGATAAATAGCCAAAGCTTGAAAGAGCAAATAGAGTAAAGCGAGAGACATTTTTTTGTTACATTTGGAAATTGACAAACAACTTTAAAATGAACCACTTGTTGTTTTAACGTAACGAGTCAACACCGGCGTGCCGTATACACGTACCTATGTAGATACGTGCTTTTCTCCCAAAAATGTTCAGACATCCTGACGTATATAATAAGTTCGAGCACTTGTCGCTTCTTCCATCCCATAGTCTCCTGGGCCACCCTCTCGGCGATTTGTCTCTCCACCGACTTACATAATACACGTGTATGCGCGTATGCACCCCCTCACCTATACATGTGTATAACGTGTTTGCGCGAGACTGCGCGGGGCGCTTAGTATATATATACACATGGCCGTCTTACCCACCTGTTATCCCTATATGCACCCTCGCGTGTTGGTCCAAGGGAGCTCCACTGCAGGCGCACACCTGCGCTTCGGACATTGCAATTCCGCTCCAGTCTCCCCGCCTATTCATCTCTCTCCCTCGCCACCCTCCCTACATCTCATTTATCCCTTTAACTATACGTGCGTGTATAACAACCCGATCCATCCTTGCGCGTCTCGTCGAGCTTTCGCGGTGTATATAATTCTAACAATCGTTTCCGTGCCCATTGTATAACGCTATAGTATAGACTTTGTATGTATAATGTATTGCACGAGTCTTGCTAAATGAACCTATGTGACAAATTCTTATTTTTACGGCAAATTGCCTTTTTGCATCCGCGCGATATATATTTTTTGTATTATAGGTACGGCTGACTTGGGCGCTACTTTTATTTTCCTCGCACTTTCCTCTACTATATATATAATATATGGCACCCCTTGTGCGCAGTGTATATTATTATATGTATATCCTATATAGCGTTGAACGGGTAATTTTCGAGCTTGGTAATTTTATTGGACTTTATGGGAAGGAAAAGAGACTAGTATAGGCAAGGAGAAAAGTGCGCATACGTGTGCAGGTATCTATGTATATAGGTACGCGCGTGCACTTTATCGGTTTTTATACATAATATGCTTCTCGGGTGGTGTTGAAATTCGGGGGAGGTGGGAATATTGAAGCAGAGCCCTTTTCATTTTCAGAGCCACTTGCCGTGAGTTTATTACCGGGGGATCAGGAGAAGCGAGATATTTTCCATCCATTTTTTTTTTTTTTTTTTTNCTAAATACTAAGTACTTTATATCTTTTTTTTTACTCAATTTTAAATAAATTTTATTTTTAAACCGTATATAAAATTTTATTCTGTAGAAATTTTACGTTAAACAAGAAGAGACCAGTATGCCATAGCTATTAAAAAGGCACATTGATATTTTGGTACACAATGAATACAGCAAGTAATGTGGTAGTATATAGGCCGGTTTTGCATGCACACCGCAACTTGCTCTCTTTTTTACTCACTTTCTCTCTTTTTCTTTCTTTTTTTTTTTTTATTCTCTTTCTTTCACTTTTCTCACTTTCGACTTTTTCAACAAACGTTTTTTTTTTTTTTTTTTACTCAAATCATTTAAGATCCACATAAACATTGATAACCTCATTCGAATCAATATTCAGTGTTGTTGAGATTCTCAAGGCGAATATTTACCAATAACACAATAGTTTAACATAAAAATTTACAAGATTAAGTATGATGAACACCGATTTGAATATCACGACTAATATTTGTAACATTTTCCAGCCGGCGATTCGGTTTCTTCGTGAGAAACTCGCGCGAGAATGTGGAAAAAAAGATTTGCGCGATTACCATATTTATTAGAAGCGTAAGTTTTACTTGTCCCAGTCTAAGAATTTTTTTTTCAGTACGCAGTGGGAAAACAAAACCAACGACTCGATCATAAAAAAAGAAATAATAATAATAATGTGCATAGCGAAAGTATAAATGTTCAAGTAGCGAATACGTAATCTGTATACAACAACGTTGATTTTTTTTTCCTCTTCGTCTTATGTAACACTAACAATATTAAAACTTTAATTTGTATGAAGTATGATATTGATTGTGATAGCATTAGGGTGGAAAAATTGAAAATAAACTAAAATTTCAGGATTTACTTTCAAATCGTGTATTTTTTGATAAAAGTTATAAATTTCTCAGTACATCGTTTTTTCTCATATTTATCGTAGTTATCGAAATATAAGAACTTCATTCATTTACAATAATTAGATAACGGCGTGAACTTTAAACGACAATGTAAATTCATCTTTAAAAATATGTCTACTGGAAGTATCGCTAAGAAAATTTTTATTTACTGTTTGTGCAGATTAATGTTACCATGCCGGTAATGAGCAAGTGATTAGATTGCAACAAATGTACAGTGCTGCTAATAATATGGTAATTATTTTATTTAAATGTACGTGGGTATTTATAACTCTTCTCCAACCATCAATGATAATTCAAACGTTAATTAAAAAATTCTTCACAAACGTTCAAAAGTTTAAGCGAAGATTGGAAAAATTGTTATATGTAGATAGCAAAAAAAAAAAAAAAAAAAAAAAAAAAAAGAACTACACGCTTCCTACGTTTTATCTTTTTCAAACTTCAAAACTATAGAGTAACACGGTTTTTTATCTGAAAAAATTAAATTGTAATTTCATTAAATTATCAACAAAGTGTAGACTCGTAATAAAAAAAAAACAAAAAATCAAGCTTTCCACACGCGTGAATTTCCAAATCGTGAAAACAAAATCGCTGGCATGTAACTTGTGTGGAAAAGTGAATAGAAGGAAAATATGAAAAAAAAAGAAAAGGCCGGCGAGCAAGAGAACAATAGACGCAGTTGAACAAACAACNATCTTATAAATAAATATTTATATAATGACGTGCACATACCTCAACAATAAAAATAATAACAATGATAACAACAATACATTCCATCACCAGTGAGTTATTAAAAAAAAAAAATTCACAATATACGGTTAATTTTCAGTCCAAGGCACAAAAATATCAAATCCATGAAGACACAAACATACACACAGCTGCATTTCAAGCCAAAAAAACTTGGATGCACAAATCAATTACGTGTATACATTATACTGTACATGTTATTTAATGAAAAGTAAAAAATCTGCCGCATTAGTCTGTGTCGTGTTAATATTTGTATCAAACCTCAGAAACAAAAATATAGTCATGTGGCAATCATGAAAAGAGCAAAAGGTGATATATTTGCATTAAATGTAACAAGTTTTGTTTTTCTCCTCATTTAATTTTATCGATTATTGATTGATGGTAACAAAAAAATCTTTTTGAACGACAACATATTATTTCTTTACTTTTTTATATTGCACAGTAGCACCATCCATAGGACTGGCTTACTTTTGCCAAGGAAGGAAAAAAAAACAAAACTTCATGCTAATTGACTTTTAATGCAATGAAGTTGAGGTTGTAAAATCATCTTGAAAAATAAAATAAAAAGTATAATAAATACACACGCTCACAGCACTCGCACACGTCAAACACTCGCAGCGTCAAGAGTAAGAATTAATTTTAAAAAGTTTGTTACATAGAGTTGACGAAAGAAGTACAAGAGGATTGACTGGATGAGATGATGGTTTTTTAAGCCTTTATATGGAGGTGAAAAAAAATTTTTTTGGTTTAATGTTTATGTAATAACGTGATATACGACGTGAAAAGTGCACCATGCTATTGCAAACTGTGTTAGAAGTGTGCTGGCAACTTTTTGTAAATACATATTTCAATTTTAAAAATCGGATACTATTAATTTGTTAAATAATCAAACGCAAGGGCATTAATTTCCAATCGCTCGGTTGATGCAATTAATTTATTCTGACACTATTATTATAGTGTCATTGATTTTTTTAGTAAAAAAAAAAAATAAAAAAAAAAAAATTCACTTTATTGCCAGCACAATACTAATGATGAGTAATTAAAAAATTTATGGATATGTGAATAAATTACTGGAGAAATCCTGAGGTAAATATAAAATATAAACAGGGCTTAGAAGTGCCAGAATCAAATGAAGACTGGTGTTTTTGTAATTTTGTCATAATAAACTCTTATTTGTCAGTTAACAGTACATATAATAATGATAAATTCTTTTACAGTTTCAAGCCCTGAATATAGAAACACAAGTGATGCTCAAATATTCAGTGGATAATAAAACGAAACAATAATTATATAATTGGGTAAATTGCTAATACGAAGAGAAAAGGTGTTATAATAAGAACAATAGTAGTAATAATAATAATGATAACATAATAAGATAATGTCCCATGTAAACAATGTAAAATATATAACACCGTCTGCAATACACATGTTTGTTCTTGTACAGGCTCATTTAAGAAATTCATTATACATGTAGTATAAATATAGACTTATATATCTTTGCAACAAGATCAAAAAACAAGTTTTATCTAATATAGAGCGCATGAGCAGGAATCACAATATTTAGAAATCCAACTATAGATAATGTATGTAGTGAGCGTGACAAACGATGGTGGCAATTATGAGTTAAAGAAAAAAATAATTAATCTCGAAAGATATTAAATTACCAAATGAAAAGCCAATGTAACGCGTATTCTTACATGATTATGGAAAAAAAAAAATTGTAAAACAAAAAATAACAACAATGACAACAATAAAACTATATATTGCATAGAAGAAAAAAAAACAACAAATAAAACGTGACTGAATCAGCGTGAATAAACGGAGAAAAAAAAAAATGAAGACATCAATGATTGTGATGAGCGTTAAAATGTGTAAATGGAGCGCTCCGAAATCGTAAAGTTTTTTTTGTAAGAAATTAAAAAAAAAAAGGATGTAAAATTGAGCTTATTTTCTTTTGTGGCTCCAACCTGGTTGGTCCGTAGCAACTGCGTCAGCTACGCTCCGAGATTCAACATCGGCGGGACTGGGACTTAGTTCCTTAGCAGGATCGCCGGAGGAAGTAGAGTGGGAGTGACTGTAATGGTAGACCAGACCGGGTCTGGTCTTATACCGTGCGCTGCATACTGCAAAAGTGCAAAGTACTTGTTTTCCCGCACAACCAACCTAATTGGTTATATTCTTTTTTCTTTTATTTTTTGGTAATTTTTTTTTTCCTTTTTACTTGCAACTGACAAATTTTTTTCCAATGTCTGTCCAAATGCTTTTTGAAGTTAAGATAAAAAAAAATTTACAAGTATTGGAATAGTTAGGAGATTGTACATAAGAATACGGGGAGGCATAGTATGATGATTGGAAATTGCAGAGGATATCGGAAAAGATCGTCCTATCTTCAACACAACTCCAATTTTTGCATAATCCCATTTTTTTATTATTAAAAAAATGATAATAAGATTTTTTTATGTTGATAAATTTTTTAAAAATTCGTTCAAGTAAATGATTTGAAAGAAACAAAATATTTCAAGTGCTAATTAACTTACGAACTGAAATAGAATATATTTATAACGAAATGAAATAAGAGCAAAAACAGAAGTGATGGTGAGTCTGGAATTCAATTTGATACTTTAAAGAAAAAAAAAAAAAAAAAAAAAAAAAAAAAAAAGTATTGGAAATACTTTATTAGGGGTAGCACTTGCACACCTTCCGCACTAGGACACAACCCTAGCCACCTATCAAAAATCTATTACGTGTTTCGTACAAGCAGTGAAAAAGGGTTTCCAGCCCATAAAGCAAAACTAATACGATGCAAGGCTCATAAAAAATAAATGCTCGAATACACCTACAGTAAAAAGTTAGCTCGCTACATAGGTGAGCCAAGTAAATTAACATTCTTGCTTTTCGCATAATAAGTAATATGGTTATTTGCATATGTCAACAGTACTCCAAAGGTATTCAATATCTAAGCTGATTAAATTTATTTTTGTTTTAAAAGTTGATTATACTATATTCGCTTTCATTGGAAATTATAAACATCTTTGGTTTTCAACTTTGGTCAAGTTGTTTTAATAAAACATGTAATAAAAATTATCTACAAGAAAAATTGAAAGAGCTCATTTACTCAATTTAATATGTATAAACTAATTTTACCATGAGTTTCTCTTGGTTGTGATGTAAAATTGTAATTTGTTGTATTGTACATTACGATGATAAATTACAAAATCTCTATATCTTTTGGTATAATAAATTAACTCATGTTTCATGATCATTGAATACCTTTGAATCGAGTTACTAATTCTAAATAAGAGCGTATTGGCAGGCACATTCGAGTTAATCTAAGTTTTTAAAATATTTTTTCAACAAGCTAGTACTAAATTTTACTTTTATCACTCTAATTTTTATATAGGCGAGAAAGAACTTTTACTAACTTAAAAAAAAAAAAAAAAAAAAAAAAAAAATTAGAACAATAATGTGACGATTACA